AGGAATCGGTTTTGTCATTTCATCACCATCTCCTTCCTTTGCGGTATTCTCAGAAGCCACCAGGAGATGACAGTGGAATTGTTCCCGTGTAAATGCTGCTCGTTAACAGAATATATAAATGTTATGACACTGGTGAAGATTTGTCTTCATCCATTTGTATTAAAATAATTGTCTTTTTTTAACTTGATACATCCTTATTTTGTAATTAGGCCATCTCATCTCCATCTCCCCTCTGCCACTTTCAAGCCATCACCCCTTGTTCTGTCACTCCCTGCCCTTGGCCAAAGTCCCTCCCCAGCCTTCCTGGAGCCCCTTCAGGTACTGGGAGGCCACTAGAAGGTCTCCCCGGAGCCTTCTCTTCTCCAGGCTGAACAGCCCCAACTCTCTCAGCCTGTCCTCACAGCAGAGCTGCTCCAGCCCTCGCATCATCCTGGTGGCCTCCTCTGGACTGGCTCCAGCAGGTCCATGTCCTGGCAGAGGGGAGATGGAGCTGAGATGTGAGGCAGAAATTGTTTGGTGTGAGGGTGGTGAGACAGTGTCCCAGGTTGGGCAGAGAAGCTGTGGCTGCTCCTCCCTGGAAGTGTTCTCGGCCAGGTTGGATGAGGCTTTGAGCAACCTGGTCTAGTGGAAGGTGGCCCTGCTGATGGCAGGGGGGGTGGAACTAGATGAGCTTTAAGGTCCCTTCCAACCCAGACCATTCTGTGATTCTATGACTCTAGGGACCGGTCCAAGACATGGCAGTTGTTGACCCAGGAGCTGTTTGGTGGGGTGTTGTGGCAGCGGGATGTTCCCCCACCACCCCCAAATGTAGGAGTTACCTGTCGGGAGCCCACCTGCCTCTGCAGTTCTCTCTGGTTTGGTTCAAGGTCAAACAGCCAGAACTGCATCGTCCTGCAGACAGACAAAGCCAACATCCTCCACTCCCACCCGACATAACTGCCTCGCTGTGTTCTGGGCCGGTGACCCGTGTGGGGAGACAACAAATCCTGGTGTCTTTATGTCAATATTTTCTGAGTTGCCTTTACAAATAGGAGAGAAAACCCAGGTTTGTGTGTAAGCTGACACTGCAGGGAGCGGCGGTGCCTCAGCGGGACCTGGTGAGAAGTTTCGCTGCCGGAGCTCGTCCGTGTCCTTTGAGAGGCTGGACGTGGGGAGAGGGTGGAAATTTTGGGGGCAAACAGCAGCATCGTGAAAGAAAACCCAACCTCGACCCTGCATAATGATACTTGTTTTATTGGAGATGTAAGTGAAAAAATCAGCATTATCTATCCCAAAAAATAATAATAATAATAAAAAATGTAGTAGACAAATACTTCTCAGTGACAGATTAATCATTTTCTCAAGATTTTTCTCCAAATATATTAACTTTGTTTACAAACTGTGTTACTCGAAGTAACAGTGCCGTAAAATCAACTCGTGTATGTTTATCTGTGTGTATATATGTAGTAGCAAAGTTTTTTTTAGGTAGAACTCCAGAACGTGTGAGTTTTGCAGTTGAAGAAATGAGAGGAATGAATTTTGGGAACAAAAGAGAGCAGTGAAAACCGTTCCAATTCATTGTGCCACTGGTATAGAAAATTATCACCGCTCCGGGTCTGTGAACACAAAGATTTTCCTCGTTTAATACAAACACGTAGAGCTGACAATCTCTGTTAAAAGTTTGCTCCCCTTTCATGTGAAATCTCAGCAGCTGATCCAGATTCCAGCCCAGATCCATCTTCCAACCCCTCATTCTCTGAAGCACAGAAGTATTTTACTTTCAGAGGCCGACCAGGAAGCCAAGTGAGACGCATGTGACACGGAATAATGTCCTGGGGAGCAGATGTAAAAATAAACAGCGTTGATGATCTGTGCTCGTTCTCTGTTGAGGAAAGGAGGTGTTACACGTGTGCTTTCTTACCTGGGATGGAATTTCATGGAGCAGGACAGTGTAGTCAAACTCAATAAAATCATCTTTCCTTATCTGGACATCAAAGAGAAGAAAAAAAAAGGTAAGAACACAAGTTATATTGTTGAAGTTCAGAGTCTGCTCTGATTTACTGGAGTGCCCTGAGCTTGCTTAGGAACGAGATGAACAGGGCTCGAGGCGGCTGCGGTCGTTGGCTGGAGTGAGACCGGTTTGGATGTGGAGAGATGGGGTATTGGGAGGCTTCCTGCACCCAAACTGAAGGTGCTGACTGCGGCGTGGCTCTGCAGTCTGTGCTCTGACTGGGCTGACTCAGGTGCTCATTAATTCAGTTAACCCTCAAATAAGTTTGGGAAGCTTGGCTGACTATGGATCTGTGTCCTTCAGAGAAACCTCATTTTGAAGAACTTGGGAGTAAGAACCAAACAGTCTGTCCTGGTGCTGAGCTGGGCCAGAGCTGGTTCTGTTCAGCAGCTGGAACAGCACTGGGGTTTGGGTTCAGCTGGGATTTGTTAGGAGAAGAATTTTGATAACAGACCAATGTTTTAATTTTCTCACTAGAAGTTGAAGGACTTTGTGTTTTGCTGATCTACAAGCACAAGATCTCAGGGGGCGAGGAATATTGAACTGACTCAGCTCCATGGGCATTGGGCTCTGCCAAGGGGCTGTTCCATCTCCTGTCCCCCATGGGCAGGAGATTCATGAGGGGCTCTTCCTCTCTTGCTCTCTCTGGCTTTTTGCTCATTTTGTTCAAATGAGTAAATTTTTTTCACCAAAATCTGGACAAAATACTTATCCAGAGGTGGAGATACTTGTGTGGAGAAGCCACTGTGGTTGTGGGAGAATGACACCCGTTAGAGAGAGTGTGAGCTGTTGTCAGCTGTTTTATCCTCTGCTGCTGGGCAGACTCTGTGAGCTTCTGTAAGGCAGACGTGGAATTTCCACTTCACTTACCCACTGCTTCACAGACTTGACTTGTGCCATGAAGTAACCCAAGTTCTCTGTTGACTTTTCCCACATTATAGAACTGCTGCCAGCGACAGCCAGAGCCCACACTGGCTCCAAGGCAGGTTCAATATTTCCATAACTGTCTGCAAGGGAGAGAGAAAATAATATAAAAAATGATTAATTCTGGCAGCTCAGCAGAAAAATGATAAACCACAGAGCACTTCTGCCTGGCGCAGCACCATGCCTGGGAAGCGACTCTTTGACATGTTACCATCTTGAAGAGGGAAGAGAATGATGCTGAACCTGCAGTGGCAGGAAGAATATGACAGTGTGACAGAAGTGAGATAGCCAAGAGATGCTGTTTGCGGTAAGAAACCCAACACCCACAGGACTGGAGGTCCTTCCCTAGCCGGGAGGAAATGAGGGACCCAGAGTGTTCTGTTTCCAGGATGGAAAAATCCTGTTAGTCATCCCCTGTGAATTTCCACCCGCAGCCGGGGAAGGTGTCTGGGTTAAGGCAGTTGTTATTACTTGAGGACATTTTGTATTTACTTGAATATAAAATTGCAAAGATTTGGTTTTAAACCCAAAACACCTTCTCAACGTTGTGTTGACTGTTCTGGCTAAACACAGCGGGTTTTTCTCCCCCCAAGAACTGCTGGCAAGGTGGAATTGTTTTGCTAGTCAGCTCTGTGGTTTTAGGTGCTACTGTAAATATATGTGTCTGCTTTTAAAAATACATGGACGTTTACTTGTGTTCTTAGCAGTGCCCAGACTCTTTTGAGATAAAATGAAATACAATGGATGATTTGGAGGCATATACCTGGAATATTGTTTCCAATTATTGGTTTGGTTTGGTGCCTAATGTTTTGGTAAAGTCTGTTGTCCTCTTCTTGGGTTTGCTTCTGGTCTTTGGTACGTGTGCACTTGATATTGACGACCGGCGGAGACTTTGTCCTGGGGTACAACACTGTAGCCAGGCAGCTCCCGGCGTTTTCCTGTAAGGGCAGATTTTAAAACTGTTATGTTTAATCAAATATTTTAATATTTTATTTACCAGAAACACATTCTTAAAGTAGCTCTTGGTATTAACACGTGAATTATATGTATGGAGCATGTGTATGTCTTCATGAGGTGCTCTGTATGAAGCTGTACAGGGGTCAGGAAAGTCTTTAGATGGATAGAATTTTTTTTTCCAGAAAAGTAAATAAGTTAAAATCACTAAAGTGATTTGACAGAACTTTTGAATTAAAGTGTAGCAGAAATGCACAGAGTCATCTTAGAATCATAGAATGGTTTGGGTTGGAAGGGACCTTAAAGCTCACCCAGTTCCAACCCCCTGCCATCAGCAGGGACACCTTCCACTAGACCAGGTTGCTCAAAGCCTCATCCAGCCTGGCCACAAACACTTCCAGGGAGGAGCAGCCACAGCTTCTCTGGGCAACCTGGGACACTGTCTGACCACCCTCACAGTGAAGAACTTCTTCCTAATATCTCATCTAAACCTCCCCTCTTTCAGCTTAAAACCATTTCCCGTCGTTCTGTCATTAACTGCCTTTATGGAAAGTCCTTCCCCAGCTTTCTTGTAGGCCCCATATCTTGGAAATATGTTTGAGAGTTCTCAAGAAAGAACATTAATTGATAACAGGGAATTTCATTTTATGATACTTCAGCCTTAAGTAAACAAAAGTAATCTAATGCTTCATATTAAATTTGGAAACTAATCTGAATTTCTTAAAATCTGTGTGTTATGGAAAAACAGATGCTCACAGTAAAATTGCTAATGATAATGCTTCGAATTAAATCCTGAAAATAATCTGAATTTCTTCAAATCTGTGTTAAGGAGAAGCAGATGCTCACAGTAAAATTGCTAATGACAACTGTCTGACAATGAATGGAGGGGGGCGTTAGAATTCAAAAGAACACACAACTGTCAGCTCTTCATTCTCCTTTGGGTGTGTGGCTGCAGCAGGAGCTCCAGTTGGATGGTGAGGACCACACAGTCACCCTGAGTTCAGCCCATCACCAAGTTTCACTCAGACACTTGGTCTCCTGATGTGATTTCAACAAGACATGAGACAATCTCTGCAGGAACCAAGCAAAGCAGGTCGCTGTGGTGCTCTGAGTGCTGCGACCCCGGTAGAGACCGAGGGCTGAGTCGCTGAGATACTGGGGTGATGTGAAGAGCAAACTGTGCCCCGTGTGGGACAGGCAAAGGCAAAGGCAAAGGCAAGTGTTTGTGTTGTGAAAGCTCCATTTGCAACAGCACTTAAATGTTTTGGGAGATGGTGAAGTTCATTTAACGCACAGTATCACGAGAAATGTGGTGGACCATAAACTCACCCCGGTTTTGTAGTCCTCGGTAGTGAACTGCAGGTAATACTTGTGTCCTGAGTCTGGGATGTTCTGGAAAAGAGAAGGATTCAGCTGTCAGTGTAACTGTAGCCTATAGCCCTAATGTCCTGTCACTTGCTGAGGGGTTGCCATGAGCGCTGAGGGGGGAAACAAGGGTGCCAGGGCCACCTCGTGACCTTGTAGCATCAGGAAATGGGTCAGATGAGATGCACTGAGATCATGGAATTGTTTGGTTGGAAAAGACCTTTGGGATCATCGAGTCCAACTGTACCTGTCCACTGCTAAACCAGATCTCTGAGCACCTCATCTACCCAGCTTTTAAATCCCTCCAGGGATGGGGACTCCACCACCGCCCTGGTCAACCCCTTCCAATGCCTCAGAACCCTTTCAGCAAAGAAATTCTTCCTCACATCCCATCTCAACTGCCCTGGGCACAACTGGAGCCCATTTCCTCTTGTCCTGTCCCTTGGGCCTTGGGAGGAGAGACAAACACCCATCATCTTAGCAGCAAACACAAAGGGTCTATAACAACAACAACAAATAACCTTCCTATGAAGGGATGTTGGGAAGTTCTTTCTCACAGAGGTACTCAAGAAGAAAAATGCAGGTCAGAGCCCTTCACAGGAGAAGTTGATACCGAGTAACTTTAAAAATCAGAAAGTGACAAAGCAGAGTTCAGCTGGTGTTTTTTGCAGGGGCTTTCGGAGTGCCCTTGACCATAGAAATGAATCAATCCTGCTGACTGATTCACAGCCAAGCAGGCTAATTTAATCTTCGGGATCTTAACCTTCCTAGGTTTGGGTTTTCTTTTCTATTGTGACTGGTTAAGAGACTAATTTCACCCCACAGCATGTCAGAGCAGGATTCTGACCTCTCTGCTCTCTCTTTGCCCTGAAATCACCAGCCATTAAGTTGCCCAATCAACTCTCCGAGATTCCACTCGTTAAGGAAAAATACAAGACTCTTTGCTGATGGGAAGCAGCCGGTAGCACCTCTTGTAGCACAAAAACATCAGAAAAGCTTTAGCAATTGACACATTTGCCTGGATTTGTGGGGTTTTTTCAGTTTGTTTTAGGGTTTTTTTCCCTGTTGCTGACAGAAATGTTTGAGTTAACAAGGGGTGGTTTTGCTGTGGGATATCACAGAGTGTCCCAGCCCCAAGCATGCTGACACAGAAACTAGCTTTTAATGTTGGCCATGAAAAATATGAATTACCCTGAAGCAGGATCCACGTCTCATTTAATAGTGTGAGAGCAGAGCCTAATAAAAAGTATTTGCATTATCTGCTCTTTACTTCCTTAGTCAGTCTCATTTTCCCACTGACTTGTATATTCATTTTGAAATTTCGATATTTTTTGAGTGGGGAGTCCAAGGAACCAATAGTTTGGAAAACTTTATTCAACTAATTCCTTGTCAAATGCCATTATTTAACTGTTAGGTACATTTCCAAGCCTTTCCTTTGGTTAAATCAGCCAGAAAGAAATGAAAGAAAATAACTATTTTTAGTATGCTGTACTGTGATTTATTAGAGAAACTTTCTGCTATACAAGCCAGGGCACTTCTGTATCCACAAGTTTGTTCTTTGTGCATATATTACCTGGTTTAACAAGAGCTATTCTCTCTTCTCACAAACCTCTTCTGGCTTCTGTCTGCTGCTGGTGTAGGAGATATTGTTACACAGGGGCGTGTGCGAGGTAGAATGTAGGAAATGGATTTTACTGGAGAGTGCCAGCTGCCTTTTAAATGTACATTTCAGTCAAATTTCTGTATTCCAGGAGCAGCACTGATTTGTTAGTCTTAGTTGTTGGGTTTTTTTTTTTAAATATAATACTCTTCAGAGAGACAGGAGGGGAATTCTGGCTGTTTGCATAATTTTGAAGATCATAGAATC